CCCTTCTTCCTTCTCCCTCACCCGCCGTAGATGGCCTTCGCCATGGCGTCTCGCGCGTCGGCCGCCTGCGCCGGGCTGCTGTCCGCGCGCAGGACGTCATTCCGGGCGCGGATGGTCCGGTAGCAGAGGGACGAGTCCAGCGCCGCGCCCGCTTCTTGCCCTTGGCCGTCGAAGCCGAGGAGGGTGGACGGGGGCAGGAGGGCCTCTTGGTCGACCACCTCGGACTTGTCCTCATCTCCGCCCCGCTTGGTGAAGTCCACCTGTCGTGGTTATTGTTGTTGTTGTTGTTGTTGTTGTTGTTGTTGTTGTTGGCGTTGACGTTGGCGTTGGTGGTGCAATAATTGCTGTCGGTCATGTTCTTGTTGTTGGTGGTGGCAATGGTGGTGTCGTTTTCATTGCTGTGGATGGTGCTGTTGTTAGCGTTGGCTTTGGTGGGTGGTGGTGGATGTTGTGTTGCTGTGTCGCTCGTTGTGGAATTTGTGGTCGATATTGTCGGCGTTGGTCGGGAACGGCTGTCCCTTCTGGGAGGCTTCCATCACGGCTGGCACCACCGAGTGTAGCTCAACGTCAAGCAACACCAGGCATTGTTGCATGGTGCAAGCCAACCAAACCACAAACGAAAAACAAAACACACCCAACAAACCATCGCTTTCACCGCGGGCGCATTGGATTGTGATGTTCGTCAGCACTTGGCTACACAAAAACAAGACCAGCACTGAAGGACGGACGTTGCTTCTATCGGTAAGAGTGGCACCGTCGACAATGCCACGTGGGTGACAACCCTACTCACGGTTTACGACGCTACTTGCGCGGTCCACAGACCCCCTGCCATGGCCGACAACATTATCTCCGCGCACGGTTGGCATCGTTCTCTTCCGAGACTGACAACGCTCTACTCCCCATGGCTGAAAACAACGGACAGGCAACACCACGTGCACACCTGACCAAGAAAGAGAACACCCGCCAGAGCCCTGAACAGAGCGAGCGTCTCCTCCTCGCTAACGCCGATCAGACCCAACGCCGCCGTCGTCATGTCGTACCTGATCCGGGCGCGCGAGCAAGGCCAATTGGGTTCACGCCGCACGCACGCACACGAACGGGCGGCGACCGCACGTCCGAGAATCCACTCGTCAGCAGCACCGCCACCACCAATCAGAACGCCGATCTTGATCTCAAAAAACATGTCAACACGAATCGAGATCATCGACCAAGCGCCACCACAAGAACTACCCGCCAAACCAAAACCAACACGGCTGGCAGCAGCAGTCCGCACGCCACGATCTTAGCGACAAGAGAAAACAAAAACATAAAACCAATCACCCGGATGACACATGTAGCGTGCTGCACCAACCTCTGGGCGTCCGTCCTCCCCTCGATAACGCTGTCCGCCTCCTTCCCGTCTGCGGTGAGATACCGGAAGTCTAGGGCCTGCTTCCCCGCCAAGCCCAGCCTGGCCTTGGCCTCCTCGGGGGCGGCTAGAATCTGACGGTGACGGAGGAGCCCGCCGAATAGAAAAACAGCGTGCGCAGACGCGTCAGCGAGAGGTCGAGTGACGACAACAACAACAAAAAGTCGTCACCTGCGAGCAAAGGGCGTTGCGGCGCCTTACACCTCTGCCGATATGCCTCTATCGCAAGGTAGTAACGTTGGGCAGTCAACGACTTACTACGGCGATGCCGAAAAAACATCACACGCCATTTTGTCGCCTCTACTGCTGGAGGCTAATCTAACCATCCTCCTTCGAAGCCATCGTGCAGCCTGCCTGCTGTCTGGAAAGAAAAGCAAAGCTTGCCTGGTAAAAGACATGGTAAGCCCTCTCTCCAGGTTCATGGCCCACGACACGGCTCTTCTCGAGCAGGTACGTCGTACACCCCGACCCGGACATGCGGAACCCCCCGTCGAACTGCAGCTGGGTGAACTTCCCGAAGCTTTTTTTTTGGAGAACGAAAATGGGCACCGGTTGCGCAAAAACGCTCAAGCTGTTGACCGGTGGTGACAAGACACTCGAGGGTGAGCGGGATGATGAAGACAGCAGCTCGACGGCGCAAATCGCCACAGGAGGGCGAGGGCCGACACCTTCGAACCGACAGCATGGTGCAGGCTGCAACACCCATACCCCACGGCCGGGCTTCACGCCCCCCGCAGCGCACAAGACAAACTTTCGCAACCCTCTCCCCCCCCCCCTACCCCTCACCGACTGCTGTTGTCGTTGCGTGTTGTCTGCGCGTTCCCGAAGCTCTCGAGTAGCGGGTTGGACTCGATGATCTTTCGAATGACGTCATCGTTCCCACCACCACCCTCCCCGCCACCGCCGGCCTCGACGCCCCCTCCCCCCTCATCTTCATAAACAGCGCTGCTGGCGACGGCGAGATGCCCCATGAGGATCTTCACGGTCTCCGTTTTTCCCGCACCGGACTCCCCGCTGACGAGGATGCTCTGGTTCTCCCGGTCCTTGGAGAGACCCGCGAAAGCCACAGCGCTGTGGGGTGGGAGGGGGGGGG